CCCCCCCCCCCCCCCGCCCAGGGCCAGAGACGTTGGGAGTTAGGGAGATGGGAAGAGGTTGGCCTGCGGGGCTCCCTCAGGACAGCGGTCTCATTGCATCCCCCCAGACATGCGCAAGTGCTCTGACAAGGAATTCCGCTGCAGTGATGGAAGCTGTATTGCTGAGCACTGGTACTGCGATGGGGACACCGACTGCAAAGATGGCTCCGACGAGGAGGGCTGTCGTGAGTGGCCCCAGACCTCAGGCTGTTGGGCTGGGCGAGAGCAGAGGGCTTCATCCCACCGGCTAAGGGCCAGGCTGAGGAGTGCACATACCGTGGGCAAGGAGCGTGGGTTCTTTTTTTTTTTTTTTTTTTCCTTTTTGTCTTTTTTACTGACCGGCAACGGGATCGCAACCCTCGGTGACGCGCCCGCACCGCGCTCAGCCAGGGAGCGGGAACCGGTCTCCACATGGGATCCGAACCCTCAGCGGGAGCGCCGCCGCGCTCCCAAGCAGCACACTCTCCATTGTGCCACCGGGCTGGCCCGGAGCGGAGCGTGGGTTCTTAAGCAGCAACTCCTCCTAGGCTGAGCTAGGCTGGGAGCAGGTTCCCCAGGGGGGAGGGGAGGGTTCCCTTTGGTCCGCCTGAATATGGGAGTCTGTAAGGGCTGTCCCAAGTGAAACCCAGATGCATCTCACTTGAGGAAGGCACCCGCCTGAGCATCTTGCCCCTTTGAGGAGTCAGGGCTCCTCTCCTCTGTCCAGGCCTGACTGTTTGTCCTTCCCCACCCCTGCCTTCCTTCTAGCCTCAGCAGTGCCTGCGCCCCCCTGCAACCTGGAGGAGTTCCAGTGTGCCTACGGCCGCTGCATCCTCGATATCTACCACTGTGATGGCGATGATGACTGTGGAGACTGGTCGGACGAGTCTGACTGCTGTGAGTTCTCTGGCCAGCTGGGAGGAGGGGTGACAAGGCACAGGTGCCAGCTGGGGCAGGAGCTCAGGGGAGGAGTTTTTGGATTCCCTGGTCCCTCTTGGGCAGAGACGGAGGAGTTCAGGTGCTGGGGCTGGGGCTTTCTTGTCTGCCATGGGACACTGTGTGCACAGACTGGCTAGAGACAAAAACCTGTTGTGTTTCCCCAGCTTCCCACCAGCCCTGCCGCTCTGGGGAGTTCATGTGTGACAGTGGCCTGTGCATCAATGCAGGCTGGCGCTGTGATGGCGATGCAGACTGTGATGACCAGTCTGATGAGCGCAACTGCAGTGAGTGGGGGAATGACACCAAAGGCTTGACTGTAACTATGGAGGGGGATTATAGAGCCAAAGCAACCACTACCGATAAAGCTTGAAGACTTATAAGACAGGATCACATACAGTTGTGTAGGTTGTGCACTGCACAATGGCAGTATGTCCAAAGGGATGCCAGTCACATAATTTATATAGTCATCATGGCAGTCTTCCAGCAGGTGGCAGTAAAGTGTCTTGAAGAAAAGGCCCCTTTTTTCTGACATACAAAAATGCCGTATAGACCGGCTTGTGACACTGGTGTCTAGAAGAGTGGCATGGGTGCTGACAGAAAGTGCAGCTTTGGGTGGCAAGGCAGAGTGGGGTCAGCCTTTCATTAGGACTTTGCTTTGCCCAGCCACCTCAATGTGTACAGCAGAACAGTTTCGCTGTCGGTCAGGCCGCTGCGTCCGCCTGTCCTGGCGCTGTGATGGGGAGGACGACTGTGCAGATAACAGTGATGAAGAGAACTGTGAGAACACAGGTGGAGTCTTCTGGGGTACCGTACACCCTTAGCCTATAGTTGGGATGGGGGCCAAGGGGTGTAAAGAGGGTATTGCTGCTTGCTACCTTTCCAGTTGGGCCAAGGTGATGCTTTAATCCAGATCTTTCCTATGGCCTGGATTTTTCTTGCCCTTCCCAGTTACCAGTATCAAATCCAGGTGCATCATTGACCTGCAGCCTTATGGTCTGGAACACAGTGTCAGGGTTGTGAGTTTCAATTGCCGCTCACATTCTAACTTATAGTCAGTGCCTCTACTCGCCAGCTGACAGCCCCCATGCCCACTCCCCTAGCCACACCCAGTACTGGGCATGTGCATGTACTGTTTTTTTTTCTGTCCCACATCACTCACTATTCGTTGGGGAGAAAACGAATGCAGACATTCAGCCAGCCCTGTCTGAGCTGTTTCCTGCCTTGGACCCTGACCCTCCCACCTTGAGTCTCATCTGTCTCCAGCTAGCCTAGAAAATGACAGGCTCCCATCCTTTTGTTGACCCAAGCCCTGCCTTGCTATGACCTGACTCTCCCTTCCTCCCTTTTTCCCTCCCCCTCCCTCTAGGAAGCCCCCAGTGTGCCTCAGACCAGTTCCTGTGTTGGAACGGGCGCTGCATTGGGCAGAGGAAGCTGTGCAATGGGGTCAATGACTGTGGTGACAACAGCGATGAAAGCCCACAGCAGAACTGCCGTGAGTGTCCCCAGTGGGCGGACCTGGCCCATGGTTTGTGGCTGAACCCCACCCATAGGGTTCAAAGAGAATCCTCCCTGGGGACTCTTGCAGCTTTGGGAGCTATTCTTTGTGGTCCAGGTGGAATGCCAAGTTGGCTGTCTGGGGGAGGATTCTGGGCTCAACTCCCAACTCTGGCTTGGCTGGCACAGGGCCCCGGACGGGTGAGGAAAACTGCAATGTTAACAACGGTGGCTGCACCCAGAAGTGCCAGATGGTGCGGGGGACAGTGCAATGTACCTGCCACACAGGCTACCGGCTCACAGAGGATGGCCGCACATGCCAGGGTGAGCTGGGGTCTGATTTGGAGCAGAGTCAGGATGCTGGACAGGGGTAGCAGACAGGCAGCTGTGTGTCTTGTGGGTCAGACACTTGATGAGAGGATGGCCGCACATGCCAGGGTGAGCTGGGGTCTGATTTGGAGCAGAGGCAGGATGCTGGACAGGGGTAGCAGACAGGCAGCTGTGTGTCTTATGGGTCAGACACTTGATGGATGTGACCTCACATCATCATCACAGTAACGCTAGAAAGTGGAGATCATCCCTTGCATTTCATAGATGAGGAAACTGAAGCTCAGAGAGGTTAAGTATTACCAAAGGCCACACAGCTGGTGAGTAGCAGAGTTGGGATTCCAGCCCATGTCTGCATGACCTCAAAGCCCTTAATCACTTGTTACACAGCCTTCCCCCTAGGCCTAGAAAGTAGATGGGGATGTGGCTAGGAAAGTAGCTAATCAGCCTGAGAATTGAGATGAGAGGATGGCAGAGGGAGATCTCCTGACCCTGCCGGGTGTTCACAGATGTGAATGAATGTGCTGAGGAGGGGTACTGCAGCCAGGGCTGCACCAACAGCGAAGGGGCTTTCCAGTGCTGGTGTGAAGGAGGCTATGAACTACGGCCCGACCGGCGCAGCTGCAAGGCTCTGGGTAAGGGCTGTGGGAATTTGGCTGGGTGGGCAGAAGGCTGAGCATGGAGAAAGACCAGGTGCTCTAGTGTTCAGGAATTTGCTGAGAGGTAGAGAGATCTTCATCACAGTGAAATGGAGCTGCAGATTGCATTCTGGACCCCCAAAATAGGATAGGGGAGTATAGCTTATAGCTTTCCTCTTTTCTAATACTGATGCTGATAGCTTGGGGCATGCCCTAGTAGGCAAGGGGCTCCATTTGTCATCTGAGGACCTGGGGTTGCATGCTGATGGTTACCAGGGCAACCCTGAAGCCCAGTGGGGACCCCATTTCTATGTCATGTCCCAGGACCTGAACCTGTGCTACTGTTCGCCAATCGCATCGACATCCGGCAGGTGCTGCCGCACCGCTCTGAATACACGTTGCTGCTCAACAACCTGGAGAACGCCATTGCCCTTGACTTCCATCACCGGCGCGAGCTTGTCTTCTGGTCAGATGTCACCCTGGACCGGATCCTCCGTGCCAACCTCAATGGCAGCAACGTGGAGGAGGTTGTGTCTACTGGGCTAGAGAGCCCAGGTAGGGAATGAGGTCCCGTGGGGAGGGGCAAGGCCACACCATGTACAAAGCAACAGTGGAAGTACTAGGCTGGTGCTTTGCAAACCTCAAGCAACAGAACATCTTTTTCTTCCAGTGAGATCTTAGATGGAACTCTACTATAGAAACAGGTTGAGTATTCCTTATACGAAATGCTTGGGACCAGAAGTGTTTCAGATTTTGTATTTTTTCGAATTTTGGAATATACTTCCTGGTTCGGCATCCCTAATCCGAAAATCCAAAATGCTCCAGTGAGCATTTCCTTTGAGCCTCATGTCGGCACTAAAAAAGTTTAGCATTTTGGAGCATTTCGGATTTTGGATTTTCAGATTAGGGACACTCAACCTGTATATGTTAATTTTTTTTTTAAGATGACCGGTAAGGGGATCTTAACCCTTGACTTGGTGTTGTCAGCACCACGCTCACCCAGTGAGCTAAACGGCCATCTCTATATAGGGATCTGAACCCGTGGCCTTGGTGTTATCAGCACCGCACTCTCCCGAGTGAGCCACGGGCGGCCCTTGTGTGTATGTTAATTTTAAAGATTCAGATAAAACATTTGCTCATTATTGAGCTCAATCAGTGAGAATAATGAGACCGTTTGGTGAATGTCATAATCAGAGATTTATGGACGACAGTTACAGTTCTCTGTCAGTCTTAGCATCCAGTTTATTTCCGTGTTTTGTTTTGATTGCTTAGTGTCAAGAATATTCTGATTGACCCAGATAAGTATATCTAAATGTTTTACAGATTTATATAACAGCAATAGCTCACTTGATAATCTCAGGCTATTCTACAAGCCAATGAAATGGATTAGAACTTGGTATCAAACACATTTGACTCAAATGCTTATGGAAATTCTGAAATGCCTCTACAAAACTCTAGGCAACTATTTGTAAACCCCTGAGTCAGTGCAGGGGGGGGCCCTGGGTGTGGGTCAGGAAGTGGGGTATGGCTGGGTATGAGGAGGGATGCATGCTCCTGGACTTCTCTGTGCCTCAGCTTCCTCATTTTCATGGGGATTATAGTACCTAGCTTACAGAATTGTGATGATTAAATGAGTTAATGTGTTTAAAACTATTACAACAGCGCCTGGCCCAAGAAACTGCTCCATTAAGAGTTTGCTCTTGTTACCATGGCACAGAGGAGCCTGGGCTGAATCCCTGACACTTTTCTGCTACCTTTTCTCACCAGGGGGCCTGGCTGTGGATTGGGTCCATGATAAACTCTACTGGACTGACTCAGGGACGTCAAGGATTGAGGTGGCCAATCTGGATGGGGCCCACCGGAAGGTGCTGCTGTGGCAGAACCTTGAGAAGCCCCGGGCCATTGCCTTACACCCCATGGAAGGGTAAGTTGTGTCTCAAGCTCTTGCGGAATCCCTCTTGCAACCTCTAGGGACAGTTCCCAGGCCACCTGGGCCAGACTTTATGGGGCATCCTCACAGTCTAGTATTAATAACATGGGCTCTGCACTCAGACACCCCTGGGTCTGACTCCCATCTCTGTAGTAACCAGCTGTGTAGCCTTGGACTAGTTAGTTAATCTCACTCTGCCTCTGTTTACTCATTTCTAAATTGATAATTAAAAATACCTACCTCATAGTTGTATGAAGATTAAATGAGATAATGCATTTTAAGTAGCATATAATGTACATTAGATAAGTTGTAGATGTGTGGGTTATTTTTATTATTAGCTGTTGGGTTGAGCTAACTGTTATAAACTCATAATAATTTTTGTTTATTATAGATCCAAAAATTAATATAAAAGTCTCTTGAAATGGATGTTCTTAGCCTCTAGCTTTTAAAAATTCAATGCAGTCAATTGAGGGGGTGTCTTGTAAGATCCTACAGTTGTGTGTCAGCTGTTTCAGAAACACTGGGGGTGTGTGTGTGTATAAAATATAACAGGCAGTGGAAGAGATTGTGACGAAGAAGAAAGTGCTATCCTGACTAATATTACACTGTATTGTCAATCCACAAGGGTCAGGAGTTTTCTAGTGCCTAAGATAGTGCCCTGCCCATGGCAGGTACTCAAAAAATGTTTTTCTTTACAAAATAAATAAATACCCTGCCTAAAAGCATTTAAATTCAAACCTTTAGAGAATACTCTGTGGACCAAACAATTGGAGTCACCTGGCTTAATAGATAAAAACCTTCTACATGATTATTATCCTGGTTACCTACCCATCCTCTGCTGCCTCCCTCTCAATTTCCCTGTCTGTTTCCCTAGTACCATTTACTGGACAGACTGGGGCAATACCCCCCGCATTGAGGCCTCTAGCATGGATGGCTCTGGACGCCGCATCATCGCCGATACTCATCTGTTCTGGCCCAATGGCCTGACCATCGACTATGCCGGGCGCCGTATGTATTGGGTGGATGCTAAGCACCACGTAATTGAGAGGGCCAATCTGGATGGGAGTCACCGCAAGGCTGTCATTAGCCAAGGTAAGGCCCTTCCTCACTTTCCTTCATCTTTCATCCTCCTTGCCCCATTCCTGCCCCTAGGAGCCTTGGCAGAGGATGAGATTTGTACAGTTGCCAGGCCCAGGCCCTGGGCCATGGCAGACCGTGTCTGGACTGAGGTCTTTCTGGACTCTCCCCAGGCCTTCCACATCCCTTTGCTATCACGGTGTTTGAAGATAGCCTGTACTGGACAGACTGGCACACCAAGAGCATCAATAGTGCTAACAAATTTACTGGGAAGAACCAGGAAATCATTCGCAACAAACTCCACTTTCCCATGGACATCCACACCTTGCACCCCCAGCGCCAACCTGCAGGTAAAAAACTACACGCCAGGAGAACCAGAGTAGCCTCGTGGGTGATGTGGCCTCTGGTATCCTTGAGAACCTTCCTTGCACTTGTCATAGTTGCCATTTCTTCTGGTGGGCAATCCAGAGCTGGCACCGACATGGGTTAATTCCCCCCTCTGCTGGACATTTAGGGTGGTACAACACTAAGACTCAAAAGAATCTGCTTTACTGTTCCCATCTAATGCATGCAAACATTTACCGGGCATTGCCTGTGTGTCAGGTACTCACATGCTAGCAGCTAGGGCACTTATAAAAAATATTAAATTAGTTTCTCTCTTTGGGGTGCTCACTCTCTAGGTAAACCCCTACTTCCTAGCTTTAGCGCAACTTTTACGAATCTTTGGTCTAACCTGACCCTCTTGCTGTGGGCTCTTTGAGCAGGAAAAAACCGCTGTGGGGACAACAACGGAGGTTGCACTCATCTATGTCTGCCCAGTGGTCAGAACTACACCTGTGCCTGCCCCACTGGCTTCCGCAAGATCAGCAGCCATGCCTGTGCCCAGAGTAAGTGGGTCTGGGACACCAGCCTCTTTGGAGTGCCTTGTACAGATGGGTAGAAAGAACAAGGAATAGGAGTTGGAGGGATTGCCTGTCATGGGGAAGAGCCAGACTCGTCAGGTAGCCCCTGGAGAGGAAGAACTTAAGAGGCTGAGGGATCTTATATCCAAGCTGAGGACTGAGGCCCAGCAGTAGTTGCTGAAGCCTCAGTGACACCACCCAGTCAAGTATAAACACCTGCAACCAGGCTTGTATATCATTCCACCAGGTAGGATGCCTTATCTGTAGGCCACAAGAGGGTTCCAGGCTCTTTTAGAAAACAAGGGAATGATTTCCTACCTCTTAACTTTTAGCCTCACCCTGTTGAAGACTTTCTTTCAGCTCTTATACCAGGGAGCCAAAATTAAGATTTCTGATGATGCTCTGTGTATGTAGGCCCTGGGTAAATATGTGTTTAACAAGTAAAAGATGATGGGATGCCCTGGTCTTGCCCTGAACTACTACTTTGGCTTCCTACGAGCTCCTGCAGGGTCATTGCCTTGAGAGGGTAGCCCTGGATAGCTCAGCACCACAGGTGATTTTTTTCTAAGAATAGTCCAGAGAGTAGTGATCAAGGTGTATGGTATGACCAGCAAGGGCTTGGGGTAACTCCTCACACATGTCAGCAGCTTTTCTTATTTACCACTGTGTTCTACACTGACCCTCTTAAATCTGGTTAAAATCGAATTCTCTTTTGATCTCGGTCCTTTCCAGATGTTGCAATTAGGGCAAACCTTCAGAGGTTTCATTTTTACACACATTGATTGAGAACCTAGTTTCATGCTTGGAGTTTTCCCCTTGCCTTCTTTTGTGCCCAGCTCTTCCTGTACTGTCTTAGAGAGATTCAAGAAGTTTCCCCAGGAGCTTCCCCATAAGGGTTTCCCAAATCTGGGAAGAAGACAGTTGGTAAAGTTAGGCAGGAAGTGCATTTCTGGGTAGAAAAGTACACTATGAAAGTATTCAGGTAGACCAGCCTAGGGGCAAAGGTTGGTGCAGAGCTGGCTGGGAAGATGCCATGTAGAGGAGTGGCCAGACCTGTGTCCCAGCTCTGGTGCTTTGTAGTCATGGACTTCTGGGCAAGTTACCTGATCTCTGTTAGCCTCAGGGTTGCTCATCTAGAAAATGGGAATAAGAGTAACATGTACCACAAAAGGTTGGTGTGAGCCAAGAAAAGCACCATGCTCAGGGCCTGGCAAGGAGTAAGTGCTCAATAAATAGTCATTATTGGCTAGAGTTGTGAAGAGGAGAGTGAGAGGAAGGGATTGGAATGATGGATTGGAGCAGCAGAAGCCCTCAAGCAGGCAGGAAGTCGGAGAAGTAGGGGCAGGGGGTCAGCAGTGGTCTGGCCAGGGCACTGGAAGAGATCGAGAAAAATGAGAAGAAAGAAAAGTTGAGATGAAGCTGATACATTTAAACAGGATGCACTTCTGGGTCCTGAGTAGAGTCCATTTCCATTTGATTCTAAAGTCTGATTCTGCCAGCACGGGCTGCCCAGGGCTCAAAGGGGGCCTGAGGATTGAAGAGTAGGGAGCAAGGGGTACCAGATCCCAGGAAGTGTGATTGAACCAGATGTCACACAGGTGAGCGTCTGTGTCTGTCACTGTTATTGGATTTAGAGCATTAAAAGAAGACCCCTTTCGGCCTTTGATCAGGTCTTGACAAGTTCCTGCTTTTTGCCCGAAGGATGGACATCCGTCGGATCAGCTTTGACACAGAGGACCTGTCCGATGATGTCATCCCACTGGCTGACGTGCGCAGTGCTGTGGCCCTTGACTGGGACTCCCGGGATGACCACGTGTACTGGACAGATGTCAGCACTGATACCATCAGCAGGGCCAAGTGGGATGGAACAGGACAGGAGGTAGGGCCCAGCGTGGGCCCAGGCCCTCAGGGAGGGCAGAGATTGAGGGGTGGAATCCACCCTCTCCAGGGTAAGGGCTTCCCATATCTTTGCCAACCTTGAGAATTGGTGGAGTTTGGGCATCAGAGCTGGGGTGGAGGTACAGTTGGTGATACAGCTTTGCTTCCTGCCCAGGTGGTAGTGGACACCAGTTTGGAGAGCCCTGCAGGCCTGGCCATTGATTGGGTCACCAATAAGCTATACTGGACAGATGCAGGTATGTACAGGAGAGCCGAGACCTGGCTCTCTGAGATTCCTCTTATTTAAAACCTTGGCCTCAGGTAGGAAGGGCCCAGTGTCCCTCCTGGACCGCCTCTGTCTTGATCTGAAGTCCTTGGTAGGTCAGGAGTGGCAGAGCTGTTGCAGAGCTGAAGCAAGAAGCCCACATCTGAGAGTCTGGCATTTGCCAGTCAAATGGCATCTACTTCTGCTATGTACCTGATGCCCAAGAACGTTTTGAGGCATTTCAGTTAAGGAACTCATGTCCTGTGGTTTTCATTTCATCACTGGCTAAACAGGTGGGTGTGGGAGGCAAGGAGAATGCCTTAAACCAGTGCTACTCAGAGAGTGGTCCCTGGACCAGCAGCATCAGCATCATCTGGGAAGTAGTTAGAAATGCACATTTTGGGGCTTTTCCTCAGACTTACTGAATCAGAATCTTTGGGGGTTAGGTTCAGGAATCTGTATTTTAGCAAACTTTCCTTATCCTTATTACACTAAAGTTTAAGAAACATTGCCTTAAATCATAAGACAGAATTGGTTGCTCAGGTCTGCGAAATCTTACTCTTACAAGAAATGGAACTGACCACTTCCTTGAATTTCTTCTCCCTGTTCAATTCACTAAATATCCATTGTGCATGTATCGCAAAATATTTATTGATATCTACTGCATGCCAGGCTCTGTGCTGGTCATGGAAGGTAAGAGGGTGAACGAATAAGACTAGAGTTAATATCTTTGTCCCTTATTTCTTGACAGGTACAGACAGAATTGAAGTGGCCAACACAGATGGAAGCATGAGGACAGTACTCATCTGGGAGAACCTTGATCGTCCTCGGGACATCGTGGTGGAACCCATGGGCGGGTGAGCGCTGCGCCTTTGGGATGAGCTCCCCTCCACAATACCTGAGTACTGGAGGGGAGCCTGGAGATTAGGGAGAGTGGCCAGATTTTATGGGTGCACCCAGAAAGCAAGAGCAGCTGTAGTGACACAGAGGCTAGTGACAACCCTGTCTCCTCTGTGGACAAGAAAACCTTTAGACATTTTTTATCTTGGCTTTTTTTTGGTTTGCTTACAAAAGTAACTCATTGTTAAAAAAAATTAAGTCCACAGACAGTGAAAATTCTCTAAAATCTCACTCTCTAGCAATAACCATTGTTAACAGTTTAGGGTATTTTTTCTAGATTTTTCTTCTAAATGTATTTTTTGTTCTTGGTGATGATGGTTTTGGTTTTACAAAAATGGCATACTGTTTTGTGACTTTTTTTTGTCCCTATTAGGCTATTTATGTTGTATGTCTTTCTATTTGAGTATATAAATCTACGTTGTTCTTCTTAATGGTTATATAAAATTCTGTTAAACTTAGGTACCATAATTACTTAGCCAATCCAGTCAAGGAGACATTTCTTATTCCTCATCCTCACCTCCCCTCTTTCTTTATTCCCAAGTGGCCTTGTTCACTGTGCACTCCTTGAGCTATGGGCTCTCCTTATATTAAGACCCTGGATACCTTTCCATAGTGATAGAAGATACGAGGTCTTTAGAGACAACTCTGAGCTCAGGGTGGGGCTAGGCACTGAGGCAGGAGGCTTGGGCAGCTATTTCAGGCAGAATCCCTAAAACCCACTGAGTATTAACTGGAAGGCTTGTAAGACCTCCCTTGCTTGTGCCCAGGTACATGTATTGGACTGACTGGGGTGCAAGCCCCAAGATTGAACGAGCTGGCATGGATGCCTCGGGCCGACAGGTCATCATCTCTTCTAACCTGACCTGGCCTAATGGATTAGCCATTGACTATGGATCCCAGCGGCTATACTGGGCTGATGCCGGCATGAAGACGATTGAATTTGCTGGCCTGGATGGCAGCAAGAGGAAGGTAAGTGGCATTAAGGCATCTTCCCACAGCCCTGACAGGCATCAGGACAGCATTCCCTGGCAGCTGACAGGAGCTGGGGGAGACCAGAGGTTATGAGACCAGCATGGGGTGTGTGTTGTTTCTCTGAGGCTATGGTTGCCAGAGCTTGGGGTGGTGGGTGGGGGGCTGCTGGTTGATGATGAAAGGAAACTAGGGATTTGTATGGATTGTGGGCTGGGGGTATAAATGCACAGACTTTCCTAATAACCATCACAGTTAACACTAATTAATCACCAATTGCACACTGGGCCCATGGTTGATCTTTTTCTCTCTTTTTACTTATGTTACTGTTTATTTTGATATCATTTCAAATTTACAGAAAAGTGGCAGGAATAGTAAAAAGAACAAATAACTATAACATTTTGCTACATTTGCTTTACATTCTCATTCTCTACACACACACACACAATTTTTCTGAACCATCTGAGGTTAAATTGGAGATATCCTGCCCTTGACTCCAAAATATTCCAATGCATATTTCTTAAGAACAAGGACATTGTCTTATATAACCACAGTACAGTCATCAAAATTGGGAAATTTAACATTGATATAATATTACTGTCTAGTCCATGGTTTATGTTTAATTTCACTACCAGTTGCCCCAATAATGTCCTTTATAGCTTTTTTTTTTTCTTTTTCTCTTTTAGTCCAGTATCCAATCTAGGATCCCTCATAGTGTTTACTAATCATGTCTCTTTGATCTCTAATCTGGAACACTTCCTCGGCCCTTCTGTCTTTCTTGACCTTTTATTTATTTATTTATTTATTTATTATTTTTGTCCTTTTTTGAGACCGGCTACACTGCGCTCAGCCAGTGAGCGCTGTGAGCGCACTGGTCATCCCTATATAGGATCCGAACCCGCGGCAGGAGCGCCGCCGCACTCCCAGCGCCGCACTCTCCCGAGTGCGCCACAGGCTCGGCCCTTTCTTGACCTTTTAATTAATTAATTAATTAATTTTTTGGCAGCTGGCCATTACAGGGATCCAAACCCGTGACCTTGGTGTTGTAAGGCTGTACTCTAACCAACTAAGCTAACTGGCCAGCCAACCTTTTTATTTTTGAAGAGTAAATGCCAGTCATTTTGGAGAATGTTCCCTCGGTTTGGGTTTGTCTGATGTTTTTTTGTGTTTGGATTCAGATTATGCACTTGGGGCAGGAATACTACATTAAGTGAAGTCATGTCCTGAGTTCTCAGTGTGTCTCATCAGTAGGCACACATTATCACAGTAATGGGATAGTTACTTTAATTGAATGGTTAAGGTGGTGTCCACTGTAAGAAGTTGCTGTTTTTCCTTTTGTAATTAATAGGAAACTTGTGCAGAGATACTTTGAGATTATGTATGTAATACACATCTTTTAAAATCATCACATGAACCTTGGAGACAGACACTATTGTGATTGTATCGCAGATTGATAGACCAAGACTCAGACATTTTATAACTAGCTCTTACTCAGGGTCACACAGTAGATGGTAGTGGCTGAGCTGCATTCTGACTCCACACTGAGCTCTTGACCACTGCTCTGTACTGCCGGCCTTATTGGGGATAACACAAATACTGGGGCCTGGCAGGTGCTGATCGGAAGCCAGCTCCCCCACCCGTTTGGGCTGACCCTCTATGGAGAGCGCATCTATTGGACTGACTGGCAGACCAAGAGTATACAGAGTGCTGACCGGCTGACAGGGCTGGACCGAGAGACCCTGCAGGAGAACCTGGAGAACCTCATGGACATCCACGTCTTCCACCGCCGGCGGCCCCCAGGTAATCAGCCCTGACCCTCTCTGGCTTCTCCTTGGCCTTCCTATGTCCTAGTCCTTCCCACTGATACCTCTCCTCCTCCCTACCCAGTGTCCACGCCATGTGCTATGGAGAATGGTGGCTGCAGCCACCTGTGTCTTCGATCCCCAAATCCAAGTGGCTTCAGCTGTACCTGCCCCACAGGCATCAACCTACTGCCTGATGGCAAGACCTGTTCACCAGGTGAGTTGAAGCATCACAGATCTGGATAGGGCCTCTCTGGGAGGGGAAGTGACTGTCTTCCTTCCCTGCAGCTGGGCTCTAATGTGGTCTGAGAAACCATGAGTCCTGGTGCTTCTAGAGGCTTAGGGGAGAAACTGAGAGCTTTTAGAAAAGAGGAGAGGTTCAGGGGAGAGGCCCAGAGGAGCAGGTAGACAGGATTGGAGGCACGGTCCATCTAATTCTTATGGTGTTGTGTTAGTCTGTTTGTGTTGCTGTAACAGAAATACCTGAGACTGGGTAATTTATAAAGAACACAGGTTTATTTGGCTTATGATTCTGGGACATCTGCATCTGGCACAGGACTCAGGCTGCTTCTACTCATGGTTGAAAATGTCAGTCAGTGGCAGGTACAAGCAGATCACATGATGAGAGGAAGCAAGAGAGAGAGGGGAGGTGCTGGGGTCTTTTAAACAACCAGCTCTCATGGGAACTAACAGAGCGAGAACTCACTCACTACCCCTCGTTCCCCAGGGAGAGCATTAATCCACTCATGAGGGATCCGCCCCCATGATTCAATCAGCTTCCAACACAGTCACATTGGGGATCAGATTTCCACATGAGTTTTGGGGGGACAACACATCCAAACTCTATCAGGTGTCTTCATGCATATTAGAAAAACATGCTCCTTTCTCAAAACAACTTTCCTTTCATCTGTTGGAAAAGTTTCATAATATACTGATTTGGTTAGAACAAGACGCTTCTTCTGTCTGCCTAAAATTAGTGTAATATGAAAATGTATGATATCTATAATGTAATGGTACTCCCCCCCATAGATGTGCCACTTTTGTGAGTACACAATCTATTTGACAAGGTTGGAGGGTCCCATAAGCAGAACCAGGCTACCCAGATATTAGAAGTCAAGGTTTCTCCCCAAGGGGATGCTGCATGGTAGGCTGCATTTGAACTTCAACCTTCCAGGGAATTTGAGCGAGAACGGAGCTGTGAATTTTGCCTCCCAGGTTGTAGGTAAAGCCCTCTGGGGTCCCTCTCTTAAGCTTCATTATAAAGGGTCTTTCAAAGAGAGCTGCTTCCACAATATTAATTATGAATATGCATAAGACCTAATGCTAAGTGCTTTATGTACATGATCTCATTTAATCTTTTCAGCCACAGTATTATTATTATTTATTTTTTTTTTTTTTTTGTCTTTTGTCTTTTTGTTCCGTGTCCGGCAACGGATCGCAACCCTCAGTGTTGCCCCCGTACCGGACCAGGGACCGGCAACGGGATTGCAAACCTCGGTGTTGCTCCCGCGCCTCGCTCAGCC